AAGGCCCAGTACTGCAGTCCGACAGACCAGGGCTTCTTAAACTTTTTCTACTCACCACCCGTTTTTGCCTGAGAATTTCTTAAAAATTATTTTATGTGCATGAGTGTTTTGCCTATATGCAGGTAAGTGCACTATGTGCATGAAATGCTCACAGAGGCCAGAAGAGGGCATCAAATCTCCTGGAACTGGAGTTATAGATGCTTGCTAGCCACCATGTGGGTCCTGGGAACCCAACTGGGTCTGCTGGAAGAACAGCCAGTGCTCTTAACCACTGAGCAATTTCTCCAGCTCCTTCCTGAAAATGTTTATGCAACCCCAGGTATACATATGTATAAAATAGGCACACAACTCAAACATTTACCACTAATAAATCATAAAGAAATAAATGTATTTTGAAACAATTCTTTCATATTCATATAATTTTACCATTAAAGATGAAAGGAATTTTGTATATTGAGATGGTTGCACTTGTTTATTTTTATACCAGGAATTAAATCTTGATTGAATATTTGCTGCTGCAGGATGTAAAGCATCTTCAGTGTTTTTCAGATGTAGAATTGTCAGTGCTGAGAACACTGCTTTACCTAAAATATAAGTACAAAATGCAGAAGTGTGTTTAGAGCCATTTCAGAAATTGTTGGGAATTCTGTCCTTATCCCTAACCAAAATTCATTGGATATTTTTTTTTTTTTGTCTTTTTGAAACAGGGTCTCCCTGTAGCCCCAGGCTGGCCTCAGTCTCGTAGAGATGCACCTGCCTCTGCCTCCCAAGTGCTGGGATTAAAGGCGTGAGCCACCACACCTGGCTTTTTCTTTTTTTTAATGTTTGTGTGTGCATGTGAATGTATGTATGCGTGTTCACATATGTGCAAGTACATGTATGTGCACGTGCATGGCCTGAGATTGACACAGCACATCTTCCTTGATTTCTCCCCACTTTATTTATTGAGGCAGGATCTCTTCTTGGATCCAGCACTCACCAATCTGGCTAATAGAGCAAGCCAGTTTTCCTCAGGAATCCCTTGACTCTGCTTCCTAAGCACTGGGATTGCAAGCAGGCCAACACATCCTTCCAGCTGTTATGTGGGTGCTAGGATCCAAACATCAGTCCTCGTGCTTACATGGCAAGAGCTTTATCCACTGAGCCATCTCCTCACCTCCACAACAGCAAATTTTAAAATCAAACATTCTAATCCAACCCGATGCAAAGGTATTCCAACCTGATATATGCTGAGGACTGTTAGTCTCTGCTGTTCATAGTTTAGACCATTACGTTTCTGTAAAAACAGAAAACTTAATACGTACAGTGAAAACACTGCAGCTCAGAACATACAGTAATCTCACATCTGAGCCAAGGTGTTCCAAGCAGGGCTCCTTGTCTTGGGTGGTGTAAGGGATGTACATACAAAGTGTACCTGTTGCATCTAGAACTAAGTGAAATTGTGCAAAATAGCACAGCTGAGCACTTCCAGAAACACCTAGGATTCATTATACATTTGATTCTAAATTAAGTGTTGGCCATTGCATGTTTAGAAACCTTTTACTGCCACTAAATTTCTCACAACCTCCATATTCAGTTCCGTGGCCACAATTTAGAAATCTGAAGGACAGACCAAAACAATAGCGTGACCTTTGGGGAGTGCTGCTGCACCCAGAGCCGTGGCAGAAGCTAGGGGGAGGGGTGGGGACCGTGGCAGGAATGCCCTCTTCCTCCCTGGCACAGGGAAGGCCGAGTACAAATGGAAAGGTGGGGCACGAGCAGGCACAGTCATGGTTGGCCTCCCTGTCCTCCCCAGCTTAGGGCCAGACCAGAATGTTCTGACCGTTTCTATAAGTCATGCAATCTCTGCAGACTTCATGTTCTAATCTATGATTCATTCTCATATTCTCTCTCTCTCTCTCTCTCTCTCTCTCTCTCTCTCTCTCTCTCTCTCTCTCTGGGGTTGATAACCAGGGCCTCACATGTGCTAGGCAAGTGCTGTCCCACTGAGCCCACACCCCCAGTCCCGTAGCTCTAAAGGTATGGGTGTATTATTGAATGACCACATGGTTGTACATGTACAGTACAAATCCACACAAACTTGTGAGGCTTCATGGGTTGCAAAGAAGTTGTGACACCTATTCTGGGTTTATCATGACACAGGGCTGGGTTAGATAGAGGCAGCACTACCCAGAATCAGGACCAAAGAGCCTCACTCTCATGATCACAAACAACTGGACCAAGGATACACTAGAAAGTGGGTATGGCCCATCCGAGGTCACACAGCAGCTCAGTGGTGGAAGGTGGGTTTGCAGCCATGGTTATAACTTCAGCTCATGTAAGACCCAAGAAGAGGGTTTCCAGGGACTCCTGAGGCTCAGGCCAGGACTGAGCATATAGGGATAGATAATATATTCAAGGGTCATGAAACCATCAACAAAGGAGTAGGGAGACATACTCCCTGGGTGGGGTCCTCATCCCTTTTTCTGGGCCACATCTGGAATTGGGTCCCAGGTACCCTCCTCAAGACAGGGCTCTACTGCCTTCACCTCTGACTTTTCCTGGAGCATGTGGAATGTCTGAGGTAGGCTGGGGTGTTATGAGGACAGTACTGAGGATTAGGTACCCTGTGCAGGCACTGGCCAAACCCAAGCCTGTGAGCATCCCTGCTCTTTGGAGTGTCCCTCTGTTAGGGGCATTTATCTTTTCTTCCTCCTCCTCATTCTCTTCTTCCTCCCTAACAACAGGAGCTACAGGTCCTGTGTGTGCATGTGTCTGTATCTGTGCTTATTTGTGTGTGTATGTGTGTGCATGTGTATCTGGAAAGGATTGTGTGCATGTCTGCATATATCTGTATACAAGTGTATGTGTGTCTGTGTCTGCATCTGTGTGTATGTGTGTCTGTATGTGAGATGCATGTGTGTGTCGGTGCCTGTATCTATTGTACATGTGTGTCTGTGTAGGATGGATGTGTATATGTCTTTGTGTCTGTAGTAATTTGTTTCTTCATTGCTGTGACAAAACACTCTGGCCACTACCAACTTAGGGAGGAAAGGGTTTATTTAGCTTACATATCCCGGGTCACAGTTCATCAGGGAGCCCAAGGTAGGAACTCAGGGCAGGAACCTGGAAGCAGGAGCTGGAGCACAGGCCATGGAGGAATGCTGCTTACTGGCTTGCTCCCCAGCCCTGCTCAGCCTGCTTTCTTATACAACACAGGCCCACCTGCCCAGGGGTGGCACCACCCACAGTGGGCTGGGCCCTCCCACATCACTCATCAAGAAGATGCCCTTCAGACATGGCCACAGGCCAGTCCAATAGAGGCAATTTCCCGATTGAGGCTCCCTCAATCCAGGTGTGTCAAGTTGACACTAAAGCTATCCAGCAGTGTCTGTGTAATTGTGTGTGACTGTGTGTATGTGTGTTTTTATGTGCATGTATGTCTGTGTATGTTTGTGCAATTATGTGTCTGTGTATGTGTTTATATATGTGTGTCTATGTCTATGTTTGTATGTGTATCTGTATATGTGTGTGTCTGTATGTGTGTGTGTTTCTGTAATTGTGTGTATTCTGTGTATGTGAGTCTGCGTCTATGTATGTTTGTGTAATTGTGTGTGTGTGATGCATCTTACTATATTCTGAAAGCAGTTGGGGCGGGGGAGCATCCTTGCTGTCATTTTCAGGCAAGGAAGCAGGCTCTGAGTGTGCTTTGGCAGTGGAGGGCACCATGGGAAGCTCTCCACACCAGGCTCTAGTCCCAGCTCAGCCTTCAATCTGCTGGGACATCTTGAATAAGTGGTTGCCCCTCTCCACCCCGCTCTACTCTATAGTACCCCAATCCCTCCCAGACTTCTGTTCCTGGCCAGGGGAACTGAAAGGCCATTATCCCAACACACTGTGAGCCCACCTGCCTTTGAATCCCCAAAGAGGGAAGAGATGTAGGGAACCCCATCTTTTGTATCTCAGCAGCCACAGCAACAAGCAGCAGTGACAGGGGGTTGACCTTGCCAGGACACAGCACCATGGTCTCCCTGAGCCTTGGGAGACCTGCAAAGTTTACTGCCCCACAGAAATGCCTTCCTCCTATGAGGGTGGCTCTGAGCTCCAGGGGTGTCTAGAGTCTGTCACAGCTTCTGAAACTGAGTTTGAGGACCTATTCTCCCCAAAATGCAAATGTCACTATGTAATGGCTGACAGGACCAGAACATTTCCTGTAAGCTAGGCATTACACTGAGGGGTCTACAGACATTATTTCAGTTAATACAAATTCCAATTCCATGAGATGGTTTTATTATCTCATTTATAGAGACAGACAAGAAAGGTTACTGCTCAGTGCCAGAGGGGGTACGGCTGAACCGAAGCCCTCAGCTTCCTCTGTTGACCCCAGGTGACTCCACCACCCAGGGCCATGGTCCCAGGGCCACTGAAGCCACCACTGGTTCCAGGCTACGGGAGTTGCTTTCTGGCTGGGGTTCCCAGGTAAAACTTAATGACGTATGGATGATTACAAGAAAGCAAGCCGAAAGCAAGACCTTTGTGCCTTGGAAATTTGTCTCAAGTCAACTAGTTGTTTTCCAGCCCTTTCCAGAAGGAATACTCAGAGCTGGGACAGTAGTAAGAACTTCCAGCAACAATCAATTTTGAGGGAAGCACTGCCCCTGCTTTGACCAGCAGAGTCAAGGAGAAGGCCACTGCACACAGTCACCTATGGCAGATCTGTGTTGGTGATCGCTGTGGGGGCTGGGAAAGGCCCTGGAGCAGCCACCCTGGGGTAACTGAGGGAACAAACACGGAAAACGGGGGACGTCAATTCTTATCTGGAGCTCATTAATGGGGAGAACATTAGTCAGCTGTGAAAGCCAAGATAGGTTGATAGGCCTTCAGGTGGGCAGGGGCAAGGTGGGGACAAGGCCACCATGGGAGAGACAAGGAATTGGCAGAAACTCCACCTCTACCCCACGTGCCCAAATCCAGGATGGAAAGGCCCTATAAAGGCCCATGGGCCAGCCTCCCCAGATGCCCAGAGAAAGAGAACGAGGAAGAGGGCAAAAGGGGGGGAGAGCCACAGCTCTGGCCCTGACCTGAAGGCTAGCAGTATGTGGGAACTCCGCTCCATAGCCTTCTCCAGGGCTGTACTGGCCGAGTTCCTGGCCACGCTCCTCTTTGTCTTCTTTGGCCTTGGCTCAGCCCTCCAGTGGGCGAACACCCCACCCAATGTGCTGCAGATCGCTGTGGCCTTTGGCTTGGGCATCGGCACCCTGGTGCAGGCTCTGGGCCATATCAGCGGTGCCCACATCAACCCTGCTGTGACTGTGGCCTGCCTGGTGGGCTGCCACGTCTCCTTCCTCCGTGCTGCCTTCTATGTGGCTGCCCAGTTGCTGGGAGCTGTGGCAGGGGCCGCCATACTCCATGAGATTACACCGGTAGAGATCCGCGGAGACCTGGCTATCAATGCTGTGAGTAGCCTGAGCTTTTCCCCTTCCATGAAGGGCAGACGCTGAGGACCCCTTGTGCAGGATGAGATGGGTGGTCTGGTCCTGAGTGAGGAGACAAAGAGAGTTGCTGGAGTCAGAAACAGAGCCTCCTTAGGAGAATCAGGGGAGAGGGCCACTGTGTCAGCAGGTACAGGATCCTGGTAGCTACCTGTGGAACTTCCATGCAGTCCCACCAAGGAAGAGTAGCCTCAGGTTTCTGTTGGACTTGATGGGAGGAGTGAGCTGGAATTCAGCAGAGCACAGCACCCTAGATGAGCTGATGAGCACTGACAAATGAGCTGGGCCTTTTGGGCTGCAGGAACCTCAGTGTGCAAGGATTGATTAGAAGAAAGGGACCTGACATTTCTGCAGCACCGGCTATGGGTGGACCCACCACAGTGCTCCTGCAAGCCATGCACTGACAGCTCTGCAAAGAAGGGATGGGCAGGCTTGTTTGTCAGGGATGTGAGAAAATAGGTTCCAAGAGAGAAATACCACACAGCCCTCAAACCCGAGCTCGACTTCAAAACCCATGATCTTTCCCTCAACTAACTGCCCTAAGCCAATGTCAGAGCCTTATCTTGCAAATCAAGGCTTAGGAAGGGGAGTGGTACAGCAGAACTTCTAGACTTTGCCAGTATCAGAGAAGGTACTAGAACCTAGAGGAAGGCTGCAGGAACGAAGCTTCTCCAGTCCTGGAGCAGACCCCTGGAGCTTGCCAGCCAGTGCTGATTTCATGCCAGTAGTTAGCAGTACGTACCTTCAGCATTTTGAGAGATGAATGTGAAGCTACAGTCCCTCCCCTCTCTAGTCTGTGCAGGCTTGGGGACACGAGGTGCCCTGTCCCAAGCCAGGAAAGCAAGCGCCTCTCATGCTCCCTCCCACATTTCTCATCCCTGGACCCTGTACAGAAGACTCCAAGGCTATCTTCTCCCATGTTGAGGTGGCGTCCTCACTAGAGGGACAGAGTGTGCCCATTTGTATTAAGAATTAAATGAGTTCATTTTGCAACAGGGAGACGCCCAGTTAGAGTCAAAGAACTTCCTGAGAGCACATCCCAGGCTTTCTCGTAATAGCGAGGCACAGGGAACCCTTAGGCCCTGGGGGACACCCAATCTTCCTCCTCCATCATGTCCTAGCCCACTCAGAACTCAAGAGCAAAGGGTCCATGAAGCACCTGCAATTTGTTCCTCTGCATTGACCCATCTTGTGTGGTGGAGGAAACCTTGCCTGGCTGGAAAGAGGGTCCATTTAGAACACCCAGAATGCACAGTGTTCTCTGACACCACCAAGAGCCCAACTTAGCCCCCAGGAAGTTGCCAGTGATGCAGATCAGCCCTGTGCCAGGCCAGATACTTTCTCAACCTTGGTATACCTGTAAGGTCATTTCTGAGCACCCCCTCCTCCCACCCCACTTTAAGATGTAAACTAAAGTTCAGAGTCCTGTAGATTCAAATCATGAAGCAATAAACAGCATCATCTAGAAATAGCCCCAGCTGTGTGCCGGCAGACGACATCTATACTGTCCCCCTCTGAGCAGCTGTGGGGCTGGGGCTCTGTCTTTACTGTCCTCTGTTCTCCAGGGTCTGTTTTGTCATCCCCATTGCACAGAGACAAGACAAATACCATCCTCCAGCAAATCAGAGGCCTCAAAAATGGCAGCCCCCGCCCCCAAGCTCTTTTCCCTGTCCCTGGGAGGCTGTGGCAAAGTAGGGGTTGAGGCTAGACTCTAGAAAGACCCAGGGTGATACAGCAATGGGGGCTCAGGGCCTGGAGAAGGAGCATGGGAGTTAAGAGCCGTCACAGCTCCACCCTGTGCAGTGCTCAGCCCCACGGGGCAGGGTGTGGCATACAGGATCACAAAATCCACAGAGAAATCCAGCACTGGGTGTGACCAGGTTATGAAACTGGCTCCTAGCTCAGTCCCAAATTCTCTCCTTACCCAGAGCTGGGGCTGTAGGGACCACGGGTTCCCACATGCCTGTGGAGGATTCATCCTCAGCACTCTAGTGCTCGCCCCATTTTGCCCATCCTTTATAGGCTGTGTAGGGAGCAACCCACCGGGCAGAACCAAAGCCTGGATGCTAAGGGGGCAGGCAGGAATAAGGGGGAACTAGCCTATGCTGGCCTCATACTGGAGTGGGTTCTTAGACCCCATTCCTGGAAGCCATACGATCACAGGAAGATGGACCTAGCGTCCTGTTACATCAATACGACCTGGAGATAAAGGCCTTTCTGTTACCAGACCCAAAGCTCCCTGCTGCAATGGAAACCTCTTCCCAGAATCTGGATTTCAGGCTCTCTGTCATCTCACACTGCAGGCACAAAGCTCAGCCTCCTCATCTAATAGCTCTGGATCTACCTCCCAACTTCAGGCTATCCCTCCATCCCCTGCTTCGGGGCCAGGATCCAGGAAAAGGGGCAGTAGGTGTTTGCAGCTAAGGTGTCTGGGGAGCCTGTATTCTGGCTTCCAGCCTGGAGGCCTCCCTGGAGCCAAAAGCAGGTGTAAGAAGTAAGGGCAGGCAGTGTGATCAGTGTCCCTGTGCTCATCCCCTCCCTCTCTCTCCAGCTTAACAACAATGCAACAGCTGGCCAGGCCGTGACGGTGGAGCTCTTCCTGACCCTGCAGCTGGTGCTCTGCATCTTTGCCTCCACTGACGAACGCCGCAGTGACAACCTGGGCAGCCCTGCCCTCTCCATTGGTTTCTCCGTGACCCTGGGCCACCTCCTAGGGGTAGGTCATAGCCGCAGTTTCCAGCCTCCCTGTAAGGACCAAAACATACATCTCCCTCTAAGAAATAGCTACCCAGGCCACTGTAGAGACAGATACGCAGAACTCCCCAAAGCGATAGACACAATGATCCCCAAAGGGACAGTCACCTGGAATGCCCAAGAGGGACATGTAATCAGAAACTTTAGCTCCCAGGCTCTCCTAAAGGGCAGCTATCCTTCCAGCCCCAAGAGAATACAAACAGGGGCATAAACATAAAGTTAATTGTCCATCCCACCCATTTTAATCTGAGGCCAAGTACTAAAGGAGAGGATGAGGATGCTGTGCTATCTTGTCCTCATTCCCCTTTCTCTGCAACGCCCAACTCCCTCCCACAGATCTACTTCACTGGCTGCTCCATGAATCCTGCCCGTTCCCTGGCTCCTGCAATTGTCACTGGCAAGTTTGATGACCACTGGGTAATGGCTGAACCCCTGCCTTCCCCATTCCTAGAAACCATCCCAGAGGGAGAACAAGGGTTAGGTAGCCTGGGGATGGACGGTGCTGTTCTGCATGGGCTCCCCAAACCCTCTTTAGTCATCCTGAGACCCTGGGAAGCCTTGTGTTCCACCCTTTAGACCTTTGTCTCCCCTCCCTGTGCCTGGCTATATATGGAGATAACAGTCTGCTTTTTATTGACTTCTTGGGGAAATGAAGTGAGCTTCTGTACATAACACAGTGCCTGGCATTCAGAACTCGATAAACGATATTTACAGTTAACAGTCATGTAGCACCAGCTGGGTTCTCTTCTAAGTGCTTTTCGAATCGTAACCTATTGCCACATCTCTAGATGGTAAGCATTCTTACAAGGAAAGGAAACAGGCACGGATGGGGTGAGTGACTTGTCTAAGTTCACACAAGTGGTGGAATCAGGATTCACAACTAGACAGCCTGGTTTAGTCCCCCCCCCACACACACACATTAAGTCCTCCACAGCTCATGCTGGCACTGTTAATCGCATGAGTCATTACTGACTACATCTGAGGTACGGAAGACCCCGTTCAGCCCAAGAGAGCAGCATATCCAGGCGTTGTTGCCAGCCTTGATGAGTGGTGCCAGCGCCCTCTCCTCTCGCCCCCAGGTCTTCTGGATCGGACCCCTGGTGGGCGCCATCATTGGCTCCCTCCTCTACAACTACCTGCTGTTCCCCTCGGCCAAGAGCTTGCAGGAGCGTCTGGCTGTGCTCAAGGGCCTGGAGCCGGACACTGACTGGGAGGAGCGCGAGGTGCGGCGGCGGCAGTCGGTGGAGCTACACTCCCCGCAGAGCCTCCCGCGGGGCAGCAAGGCCTGAGCGCCGCCGCCGCCGGCTGCAGCGCACCGCACAGCGCCGCCAAGGTCCACCCTGTCCCAGCTCCCCCGGGCCCGAAGTTGGCGCTCAGTGCAGAGCAACTGCTTCCAGCGCCGGTGAGCGCTGAGAACCGCAGGAAGGAGCCCGCGGGGCCCGGGAGCCTGGGCTGGCAGCACCCCTGCCCCTAAGCTGTGGCCTCAGGGATCCTTGGCACCCTTACAGGGGAACCAGGGACTTGGGGACTGAGCCGGTGGGGCGGGTGGGAGAACAGGTGAGGAGGAGATGGAGAGCTCTGGAGAGCCCGGGCTTGGTGCTGGGCGAGAAGGGCATAGATGTGACCTTGAGGGTCTGGATTGGTGTATCTGCTTTTTGTTAGCATACAAGTGCCTGTCCATCTCCGCGAGCCTCTCTCCTTACGTGCACCAGGTTCTGCCTGTGCCTGTGTGTGAACAGGAATGCCTGTGGTGCAGGGCCTGGGGACTTCTCACTCCTGCTTTGCGCTCCCCCTCCTCCTGCACCCAAAATAAATCCACTTCTTCTGCAAGCCGATGAGTTCTCCATAGCAGCCAGCCCCTGGAAAATGGGGGGTGAGGATGGTTTCCAAACTCTGCTATGACCTTCCTGGAGGAGTCCCCCAAGCACTGGGCCCCAAGACTTGCCAGGACTCATTGCTGAAAGCAGGAGCCCTGTCACACATAGCTACGGATAGCTCTCCTAGACATGAGCTCTGGGGAAAGGAGACCTGGGTGGGAGGGCTCCTCAAAGGGGAGGAAGCAGGCATATGAGTGTGTGCCTGACCTCTAGCCCACGGAGCTCACACCCAATGATTAGTCTTCCATTTGGGCAAAGAAAAGCCCTCTGTGGGGGCCCCAGCTTTTGTCCTGGGAGAGGGGGAGATTTGCAACTAGACACTTCTTGAAACAAGACACTCAGTTTCGCAAGTGAACCCTCTCACCCAGCACACAACACACGCCTATGGCTGGCAGGGCAAGGCACTTAGGCATGCAACCACCGGCACTGGGCAACACCCCTTCATCACCTGTTGTTCCCCCTCCCCTCCCCAGGAATCTTTGTTCCCTCCTCTTCCTCTCTCCCTGCCCTATGCTATACCCTCTTCCAGCCTGACAGTTACTGTGGACCTTGCAACCTGCTATTCTCAGGACCAAAGAAAGGAAACGACTTGTTCAGGCAGAGACAGGTTGGAATCTAGAACCCAGGCTTCTGAATGCCCAGGCTGGGGCAATGGTTCTCAAATGACATTAGCTGGATTAAGTGAGATGATGCGTGTTATGATGCTGTGTGAACTGTGACTCTCAATACCATTATCATGCATTATTAGGATCATTTTCATTATTTCTGCTTCCTTGGGTAGGTGGAGAAGGCAGGAGAGGCCAGACCTTTAGCCTCCAGTAGTCGAAGCAAAGGAGGGTCCCCGGGCCCCAGGATCCAGACAGAAGAAGATGGGTTTGGCGCTGGCCCCATCTGGTCCAGCCTCTGAGCCCCTCCTTACAGCATGCATCCTGGCAATTCTTCCACTTCCTTCCTCTCCAGCTGCTATTTAACTAATTTAAGGATCACACCTTGAGCCCCTTCTCCCTGTCTTCTGTCATCCCCACGATCTCAAGGCCTTTGACTGCTTCTATCCCCACATCACCAGCCTCTTCATCACCCCGTCACAGGACTGTACATAAGAGACACTTCTCTTATATGGCATGGTGGCGCATGCCTTTAATCCCAGTACTTGGGAGGCAGAGGCAGAAGGATCTCTGTGAGTTCAAGGCCAGCCTGGTCTACACAATGAGTTCCAGGTCAATTGGGCCTACAGGGAGACCCTGTCTTTAAAAAGGAAAAAAAAAAAAAAAAAAAAAAGGAAAAGGGAGAGAGATACTTCTGTAACTGAGCCCTGCCCCTTCTGTCTTCTTGACCAAAATTCTCTGTGGAGGTAGAAAGAGACTGCTCTGGACCGTATGAGCAGTGACGAGGACGCTCCCAAATTCCAACAGCTGGTGACAGTGGCTTGACCTCACCATTAGGGAAAGAGGAGCATCAGAGACCCTAGTGATTTCTGGGGCTGTCTCCTGATAGCCAGGTGTCCTTGTCCTAAAAGTGCAAAGGCACCAGGCACCTCATCCCCACCCACTTTGCCCCAGCATACCCCTCTAGATAGCATCTAGAACTTGTCTGTAGCACTTTCTGGGATACAGCTGCCCCCAAACTAAATATGAGATCCTTACCACTTCAAGTTCCTTTTGCCCTTATTAGGGCCAGAGATCGAAGTAGGATTCTAAATATGAGAGGGTGAAGGGAACAGTTACTGAGCTTCTGTGTGTACCATCAACTGGTATACCCTCCTCTGTGTTAGTGTGTCTGATCTGAAAACAGGCAGGGTCAAGAAGGGTAATCACCTTCAACCAGGTAAGGTTTCACTATTTCTTTTTTCTTTTTTTTTTTTTTTTTTTTTTTTTTTCCAGGGCAACTCCTCCCTGTCCCCCCAGCTGTGCTTGAACTCACAGAGATCTGCCTGCCTCTGCCTCCCGAGTGCTGAGATTAAAGGTGTGTGCCACCACACCTGGCTGGTTTCACTATTTCTAAACCACTCCCTTAGCATCCCAACCTTGTGAGATAAGCAGAATAAATAATGCTCTTCCCCGGCTGGAGAGATGGCTCAGCAGTTAAGAGCACTGACTGCTCTTGCAGAGGACCCAGGTTTGATTCCCAGCACCCACATGGCGGCTATGAACCGTCCTTAACTCCAGTTCCAGGGGAATCCGAAGCCCTCTTCTGACCTCTGTGGCATTGCACTCACATACATGCAGGCCATACACTCATACACAAAAAATTTAAAAAATAATAATGCTCTTCCCATCTTATAGATTCAGAAATTGAAGTTTGAGAGGCCGGCCTAAAGTCACACAGTAGTTTGCAGTGGAGCCAAGACTTGAATCAGGTCTTATGCAAAAATTCCATGATCTTTGCACTGAGGCAAGCTGTAGGCTGTTCCTGAGATCCCCTGACAAACACCAGAACACTCAGCCCAGCCCAGCCCATGTTCCCGTCTTGTAGGTCAGACACACCCAAACTAGGCAGCATGAAGTCAGGTCCCCAAGTTGGAGACACAGATGGCTCTGGGTTGACAGGAGGATGTGGCTGACCACCAGGTCCCAGCAGCATCCATCCCCACTTCCCATTTGGTATCAAATGACTTCATACCTCTAAAAGTTGTTTTGATGTTTGTATCTTTAAGCTGTGATTCTGTATATATGCCTCTCAATTAGATTGTGAGCTCTTTAGGGGCAGGGCTCCTTCCAACTCTTGAATGACATTAGTCTATCTACCTTTTCTCATTGGTCTTATCCAGCACAGAGCTCTGCACTCAATAAATGTTCATTTGTCAATAAGTGTTGTTTCTTTCACCAATGTAGAAATGGCCAATATAGTCAAGGTGCCAGAGACAGTATGGGCTCCTTACTGCTTCCTTTTTTTTTTTAGACCGGGGTCTTCCCATAAGCCCAGCTGACCTGGAACTCACTGTGTAGACCAGGCTGGCCTCCATTTCACAGAGATCTGCCTGCCTCTGCCTTCCAAGTGCTTGGATTAAAGGCATGTCTGGCTCCTCCCTACTGTTTCTACCCCAACCTTCTCCTCCCAGGGACCCCAGGGCCCCTGTATCAGTAGAGGTAGGGAAGGAGCTTTTTCTGAAAGATGTTGGATCCCCCTGCTACGAGTAGGAAGACAGTTCTCCCAGTCCAAACGTTCCCAGAGAAGCATTCCTTGGAGCAGGGAGGCCAGAGTCTTGACTGTGTGGGTCAAAGACAATTCTAAAACATAGTACCTCTAGCAGCGGTGGCAGGGATGGAGTCACAGCTCTGTCACCCACAGTAGCTGGAATACCCCTTATCTTTTAGGTAAAACTGATCTTTGACTTTGACTGAGAAAAGAACGTCAGGACAAGCCAGTATGAAGCAGAGTCATATAAAAGATATTTTTATTAAAAGAAAGTAAGACACAGCTGGGTATGGTGGTACATGTCTTTGATCCCAGCACTCAGGAGGCAGAGGCAGGTGGATCTCTGTGAGTTCAAGGCCAGCCTGGTTGGCATAGTGAATTCCAGGCCAGCTGGGGCTACGGGGAGATCCTGTCTCAAACAGACCAAAAGAAAAAAAAAAAAGCAAGAAAGAAAGATCCACCTGAGAGCATGGGGGGCTACGATGAGTGACGACAAAGGATCCTAGGCTTAGCCATATACACTATTATGGTGGTTCTCAGTTTACATCTCAAAGAGTTGCTAAGAAACTTTTTCCCCTTCAATAAATAAGATTATAGTGTGGCTCTGGAGGTATCTTGGATAGGATTACAATCTGATAAGATAAAACCAGGAGCCACTAGGTTTGCACAGAGGGTTTGGACATGTTGTTTTATTGAAACAACAAAGGGAGTTTTTGGTGACATGCCTAGAAAATTGCAGGGTTACAGCTGGGAAGGAAGAAACATCTTAAGCAGATGTTGTATTTGAAGTATCAGTTCTGAACTGGCTATCCCCCTTCTCTATAACTGAGATTATAAGGTGCCTCCAGAGGTGCCTTGGATGGGATTACAATTAGATAAGGTAAAGCCAAGAGTCACTAGGGTTGCACAAGGGGTTAGGGCATTTTTTTTTTTTTTTTTTTTTTTTTTTTAATTATTTAATAACCACATGATTAGAAGCATTTCATTACAGCATTAACATATTCAAAAACAATTTCCAGAGCAAAGATGCATCTCTTTCAAAAGTGGCTGTAAATTTTTAGGTTCACAATTGAATTAATACAGTTATACAATATTGAACTCAGTATAACCCTTATAAGACATAAAATTGAATGAGGTTTTAACTTTTTTTTTTTAATTACAACATAGAATAAGTAGATTTAATAAATGTTTATAGCATATTTCATCCAACAGCTGTGGAATATACATTCTTTTCAGCAGTCCAGGTAACTTTTTCTAAAATAAATCACATTTTTTTTATTCTTATTCTTTTATGAAGTTAGTTAAAAATTAATGAACAAGAAATTAAAGAGACTGCGCTGCAATTAAGTTAGAATATTCTAACTGGAAAACCAAGGTCTTTAGGGGTTGCCAAGGGGTTAGGGGAATTTTTTTTTTTTTTTTACTGTAAATGAGGTTCGGGTGAGAGGAGTCCTAGGTAACGGAAAGTTTACAGTTTTGAAAGGAGCAAGGCCTTAAGCAGATGTTGCTAATTGTGTCAGAATTCTTGATTCTCAGCTGGGAACAGGCCTGTGAGACTTCTGGCAGGGGTTTCTTTTTCTCACATCCACCTAACTTTCCCTCTATCCTGTCTCATCTCCAGCAAAGGGCCTAATGACCCTGATGGTCAGAGAGACGGAAAGGTCTGAGACACCAGCCTAGAAAACAGAATCTGCTGCCCCTTGGGGTAACCTTGACAGAGTGAGCCTTCTTTAGCTACACGAAGGCCACTCCTTGTGGCCAAGTCCGTGTGGCAAGTTGTGGTTTCCATCTCAAGCCACTGTGTGATCCTGAGCAAGGAACCTTTGAGTTCTGGTCTCCTCATGAGGTTGCTTAGAATCAAATGACACAGTAGAGACAATTCTAATCTATATTTGTATAGGCTAATCCGAATCTGTAAAATGGCAAGAACAAGTTCTTGGCCTTTATAGTCCTCTGTAAGCTGGGAAGGAGTACGCTCAAATTCTCAGGCAGGAACTTTCTCTGGTGGGTGAGTTTCCTGTGAGCACTCGCATCCTTGACCACTCCAAGAAGACTGAGACTGTGGATTCAGAAGACAGTGCCTGGGCAGAGAGGCTGACAGAGAAGGCAGGAGGAAGTAGAGGGGAAGTGAAGAAGTGTCTGGCTCCAAGGTCTCTGAGGTGATCATGGCCATTCTCCAAGCAGAGCTCCAAGCCCTGAAGAAAATACTTCCATGCTCTGCTGGTGGTATGGCCCTGAAACCCATGCCTGGAGAGCCATTTGGAAAGAGCTGTTCAGCAGGAAATGCCAGACAGAATGAGGAACAATAGCAGGGTTTCTTTGGACCCTGTTTTCTTTGGCCTCTTAGCTGCCACTGGCCCAGAGTCCCTCCTCCAGGTTCTTGCTTTTCTGTGGGCTCCTCCCCTCAGCCTCTGCTGGACACACAGACAGGAGACACCTGTTCTCTCCCTCAGCTGCACTCTAGGGCTCAACTGACCCAGGAGGCTTTTTAAATTGATCACCGCATGAGGTGACTTTCCTGAGCCTTGCTCTGTAGCTGGCACCGTGCAAAGTGCTCAAGCACACATGGTGGGGGCAGAGGGCATGCAGCTCCTCTCCCAGGATCCTGGCGGGGGTGGGGGGTGGGGGAGGGTTGGGTGTCTGTGCTCTGCCCCCAAGCCCTGAAGAGCCCACCAGCCTCATTCCCTACATGCCAAACCTGGGTAAGGGGCACCTGAGAGGGGCTGGGAGCCCAGAGGAAAGAGCCAAAGATGAGCGGGAGGTGAGAACTAGCAAAATGCGTTGCCAGTCCAAAAACGGAAGGACTTGATTTGGGGGGAGAGGGCAGTGAAAGAGACAGTATGTAAGGGCATCCGGGGTTGGAAATGAGACAGAAACAAAGACTCAGAGGTTAGAAGAGACCAAAGAAAGGTAGAGGCAGACAGACTGTAAGAGGGAGGGAGGGAGGGAGGTAAAGAAAAAGTAGAAAATGAGAGCTTGAAGAGAGAGGCAGGAAGGAGACTTAAGAGACAGGCCAAGAGACAAAAAGTGACAGACTGAGAAAAAGCCTTGGAGAGTGATGGAGAGAGAGGGACCGAGAGGAATGAATACACACACACACACACACACACACACACACACACACACACAGGAGAGAGAGAGGAGAGGAAGGGGGGGAGAGAGAGAGAGAGAGAGCGAGAGAGAGAGAGAGAGAGCGAGAGAGAGAGAGAGAGAGCGAGAGAGAGAGAGAGAGAGCGAGAGAGAGAGAGAGAGAGCGAGAGAGAGAGAGAGAGAGAAATCCCGACAGGATTAAAAGCAGCCAGGGGCGATCAAGACTGAACGAGGGTTTAAATGAAGACGTATAGAGGATGACAGAGTTAAGAGGAGAAAGCGGAGATCTAAAATGTGGGACTTCTGGTCGTAAAGAGGGAAGCCAAGACCCCTCACTCGACCCCAATCCCAGGGCTTCTTCCCTAACCCCAAATAAACCCAGACTGATCACTCCTAGGTGAAGAGTGAGAACTCGCGGCCCCCTCCTCCTGCAGGGACTCGCCAGGGTCCCCAAGAGGGCTGTGTTCTGGGACGGGTTGCCACCGAGGATGCCTCCGGGAGCCGGCTGCGTGGATCCGGCGTTGCCGGACGCGGCGTCGAGGATGGCCGAGCGCAGGGCAGGTCGGCTCTGTGCTTCCTATCCAACGCCCCCGCTCCCTCCGGGCCGGACCGCCCCCGCCACGGGCGGATCGGGAGCTAAGTGGCGCTGTCCTCAGAGAACCACATCACTCGGGCCCAGCCGTGGATGAGGCCGGGTCAGGATGCTCCGGTCGCGCGAGGTAAAGGAGGAGCTGGAGCGAAAGCCGGAGGAAAAGAGAAGGGGGAGACTACGGACGGCATCGGGACACAGGTGAAGGCCGGCCGGAGACAGACTTCCAGGGCGCAGGAGACCAGAGAGCCCGGACTGCGCCACGTCTCCCAGGGGGCTCAGGACGCACGTCGGCGAGTAGGAAGCGGGAGCAGAGCGGAGCGCACCATGCGCGCGACCCCGGCCGCGGGGCCGGTCTACACCGCCGCCTGGGTCACGTGGCCCGGGCGGGTCCGCCGCTGTCCGGGCGGGGGGACGTGCGCGGGGCCGGGGGCGC